TGAGGATTGAAACCCTATTCTTGATTTGAGAGTATGGGCGTATACGAGGCACTTTTGCACACAAATATAATCACCAGGCTAACAACATTGTCGGCGTAAAAATGAAAACCTACAGTGATGGCTGCTAGATGGACATCACCGGTTATCTTGAGCTTCAACTAGTCCATAAAATTCTATGAATCCAAGGGGGAAAAAGCGGATCCCGGGATCCAGTGGGATCCAGCGGGATCCAGCGGGATCCAGCGGGATCCAGCGGGATCCAGCGGAATCCAGCGGGTTCCAGTGGGATCCAGCGGGATCCAGTGGGATTCAGCGGGATCCAGTGGGATCCAGCGGGATCCACTTGAATCCATTTGGATTCAATGTGATCCATTAGCTTCTATCAGGAGCAGGCATGCAGTGAGACGAAGGCTGTCTGCCTGAGCTGTTTCCATCTGTTTTTTTGGGTCGACTGAAATACTCATGTTTCGCTACCTTTCGACATCAAGCAAGATCGAACGTAAAATAGAATAAGACCTAACGGTTATTGAACATCGGGTCAACGAATCGATTTGATCGTTTTATGCTCAACAACTTTCAAGCTATTGCTGTATATTTTAGATGTCATCTCACCTGATATTCGAAGAAAGTAAGAGATGAGATTTTTTTCCTGAAAACGAGAAAAAAAAGCCAAGTCTGGACATGTATACATAATCAGGTCAACGGGGTAACTGTGGGTTTCAATGGAATCAACTGGTATCAAAAATAAGCGGCCCCAATCGCCGTCTCCGATGTATGTGAAGAATATAATGGTTTGAAATCGATTATGAACAAGCCAAAGTTCCATACAGTTTGATGGAAAATACATTTCTGCATCGACTGGAATCAAAGTCAGCTTGCCTGTAATTAATTTTGAGCCATAATATTCTTCATATCCATTGGCATTCATTGGGATCCATTTAGGATCCTGGGATCCAGCAGAATCCATTGGGATCTATGAAATCCTGGTATCTGGGATCCGCTTTTCCCCCCTTGCATAAATACTATCTAATTGGTCTGAACCAAAACCTTAGCCCATTTTAACTTCTCTCAACATCAACTCTGATTGAATAATGGGAGATGTGTTGATGAACTACTCCATCCTTCCCATTTTCTTTTATTAGACGAAAATTTCACTTGTATATGTAATTCCAATTACCTACCACGTTTTAGCCTTTTTCTTGACAGTAACAAACTTTTGAACAACTTTCTACAAGATGATAATAATTCCGAGAATCTGTCTCACGAAGCAGACATTAACAGGAAAAAATGATAAGAGTAACTAGTGAAAAATAATATCGCTTAACTACCTTACCCTTAATCAATGCATGTGCGAGTTGAGCGAGTGAAATTGAAGGTTAATATAATCTCAGAAACATTTAAAAACGTCCACTGGGATCCACTGGGATCCACTGGGATCCACCGGGATCCACTGGGATCCACTGGGATCCACCGGGATCCACTGGGATCCACTGGGATCCACCGGGATCCACTGGGATCCACTGGGATCCACCGGGATCCACTGGGATCCACCGGGATCCACTGGGATCCACCGGGAACCAGCGGGATCCACGGGATCCAATGGGATCCTGGGATCCGGGATTCGCTTTTTCCCCCTTGTATGAATCGGCCATAACGGTAGGTTCTTGCTCTCTAACTACCATTGTTAGCTATCATATTGACGGTCAAAATTGCACAGCTGAGTGCACGATAAGACTGATGATGAAAAGTCTTTTCCCAGACAGGTGTGACTACAAAGCCAATAATAAGATCAATAGGGTCACGAAAACCTACGGTGATGAAGAATAGATGGGCAATGCCGGTTACGCTGAACCTCGATGAATCTGTAAAATGCTAGAAACCGCCTATCACCGCAGGTCTCCACTCTCGTAGCCAGCATTATTAGACTACATGGTGACGCTTAAAAATATATAATTTACAGCGATTTACTATTGTAGATGAAAGTTTTCCCCTAAATCCATGTGGTGGCGATGCCCGTTATAGGACCGATATTGTCACAGAAACTTACGGTGATGGTGGCTATAAGGGCATTACTGACTACTCTGAGTATCAATGAGCTTGTCAAATGCTGCAAACCGGTTATCGCCGTAGGTTCCCGCTCTCTAACTAGCAGTTTTAACTTCCATGATGATGTGCAAAACTACATTTTTGAGTACATGACACAGCAGTAGATGAAAAGTTTTCCCAGGCTGTGTCTACGAAGCTAGTGATACGACCGATAGATTCACCAAAACATTCGGTGATGACGACTAGATTGTCATTACTGGTTGCTCTGAACTTCAATGAGTCTATGAAATACTAGAAGCTGCCTGCTACCGTAGGTCTCCGCTCTTCGAACCTGCATGATTAGGATTAATGGTAATGCTTAAAAAGATATAATTTAGATCTATTCATTACAGTAGATGAAAATTTTCTTTCTTGATGAATGTGATGATCATGCCGGTTATGGGATCGATAGGACGAAGAAAACCTACGGTGATGGCCATTAAACGCGCACTGGTGGTTACCATGAGCTTCAATGAGTCGGTAGAATTCAATAAACCGGCGATCACCGTAGGTCCCTGACATCCTACAGGTATTTTTGACCTTAAAGATGTTTCTTGATATCGCATATCCAAGTTTTTTGTATAAGCATCTTTCATATTCAGATAGCCTCACACTAACAAATTTCAGTTATGTGAACGTCCTGATGTTGTCTGTCGTATGCCTATAATCAATAGTGTATTCATGGAGCGATCAGTATATGGACACATCTTATCAAATTTGTGAAATATGATCATAAATCACAGGAAGTAGATGGATACCAATTAAATGTGCGCTTCTCGATTATAAGATGATTAGCTTCACTTTTGATAGGGATCACTTGAACCTGAGTAGCTTTATTTGTAGTACATTATGATCGGTGCTTACGGTACCCGTGTACCGGTGGAACGGTGAACGGTGCACGGCTACTACGGTGACCGGTAGATCGGTGGCACCAGTTGGTACGGTGCATCGGTGGACCGATGGCACCGATCCTACGGTGAACCGGCGGACCGGTGAGACCGGTGAACTGTGAACCGTAGACCGATCACATCGGTGACCACCGTCACCGTTGCATCCCTAGTCAATAGATATTTGTTGAATTTACTCAGTTTGAATTCTAACTTATTGCACAATATGATTCTATTTAACTGAAGAATTTCTATTTTGATTAATCGATATGATACTTGACAATGCCTCAACTAGTTCTCTTAGCAGATGACTTTCAAGAAGCATTAAATGATTTTCAATGAAGAAAAAGATATTGTATAACTTGAAATGTTACTTACAATCAATTTTCGTTGTCTTACGAGTCTGTATTGCCAACAAAATTGAAAACCTAAAAAGTGACTGACTGCATTTGCTTTCCGCATAAAACTCTATATTCGCTCCTTTATTCTGTTTTTTCTTTTATGACTCGCAAAAGAGTCGTAGTCCACTTGAAAATCTGGTTTATTTTTACATTAGCAAACGGTTGGAAGTAGAAGAAAACAAAAATACCTGGAAAAAGTCAGTTTCTTAGTACCTGTGACGAGCGAGAGCACACAAGAGACAAACATTTCACTGGAAGGGTGTGGGTGTGGGTGCGGTGTGGGTGTGGGTGTGGGTGGGGTGTGGGTGTGTGTGTGGGTACCGGGTGTGGGTGAGGGTGTAGGTGTAGGTGTCTCAGAAAGTCCCATACCACACTCACACTCACCCATATCCCAGCCACCACTCATCCCCACACACACCCACACGCTCCCATATACCGTCGCTGATGACATGCTTTGTTTTTAATTCAAATGCTTGTTGACGCGTGCCACATCGCCTGTCCCCACTAGTCTTTGTCTGAAAATATGTTTTCCTATCGATTTTCAAATGAATAGTCATGAAAGAGTCGGTTTTGAGACAAAGACTAGCCGTGACGAAGTAACATAATTAGATCTTTAGTCCGTCGTTTGCTCAATTGGACAAGTTGTGCTTCGAAGAAATATTCTAGCACGAAAAAAGCAAATGGTTCGCTCATATTTGTTGAGACAAACACTGCGAGTATTATCATTTATTCATATTATGGTTTATTCTCGATTAATCCTCTAGTAACAGCCAACAATAAAAGACGAACAAGCAGCACTCGCGCAGTGTGTGAGAGAAAAGGAAGGATGAAGAGGTTGATAACATCAAACAGGGTGATGTGTGTTATCTTCAACTAACACAGGTGATGGAGAGAACGTGATAAAATTTGCTTTGTGTCGTTTGTCAGTGTTTGAAGAGAAAGAGAAAATAATGTTTAAAACTTTTCTTATCTTTATTATATCTAAAGTTGGAAAGGTAATGAATTACAATTTTTTTCCGTGAAAGACGTGAAGTTCAGTGCGACAATAATATCACCGATGAATACAAGCAATTCTTGGTTCTCGTCCGATATACCGTTTACTCTATTTAGTAAAGATTTGAAAGAATATTCACTTTATGATCTAAACGAAGATAATAAAGCATTTTTGTGGCATCAGTTTATACTCAATGTACTTCTGGATATTCCTCGTTCTTTAGCAACCAACAAAGATATTACAGAAGCTTGTTATCAACTGGTAAAGGAAAAAGACATGAAGGAAAGGACTAACTTGAAACAAAGCGATATTGATGATTTTAAAGCAAACTATACATCAGATAATGTTCTTAGTTGGTATACACGTAATTCATTTCTCTTTCGTGTATTAAACAAAGCTTGTCAAACGCTGAATAATGATGCAATTATTTCATTTCATTCGATTATCAAAGATCTTACAATTCAATTAAAACAGCTGCATAAACAACAGATGAATGATGAAACATTTAAGTTGCCATTGAGGGTATGGGTGTGGGTATGGATGAAAGTGAACAGAAGTACAACACCCACACCCACACCCCACCCCACACACACCCACACCCCACACCCCACACCCACACCCACATCCCACACCCACACCCACACCCACACTCACACCCACACCCACACCCTTTTTTTTCGTTGAGAAACAGATTGTTCAATCGTAGTGGAAAATTGGTTCTACTAAAGTTGATTGAAATCTGGAAAATGCTATTATAAATCAATTATAATCGACGGAAAATTTCAATTTTCATAGATTTTACTTTTAATTTTGATGCATAGAAGTTTTATTATAATTTTAACGAAATAAAAATTTACTTTTCCGGCATTATTCATTGATTGATAAATGTAAGAAGAAATTCTTTCGAATGAAATAAGACTTTCGTCGATAAATAGAATCTATTGAGACTAGAGCAACTCCCAAAAGGATCATATTTTTGAATCTTTCTTCTCGCTTTATACCCATTTTGCTAATTTTTTGGTTTATATAAAAAAAAGAATGTATCTTTTATTTCGATACATAAGACTCTTTAAAAAGTCAGAGTTCTTCAGCTTTTGATAAAAGAATGTGATTTGTAGAGAATCTTATTATTCGAGATCGGAATCTTTGATTTGACTGAGGCCGTCAGCATATTGTAGCAACACTACACAATGAACAACAACTTTTGCATAGCAATCGGATATGTAAATTTCGTATCTGGAAACGAGTTTCTATTGCTAAGTGGTTATATATCTATGGTCTCATTGTTTCGCAAATATTAATAACTAAAACAAGAATGTTATTCGACGAAAGTCTGGTTTTCATAAATCGAAATTTCATTTCGTTATTGTGCTCCTACAGTGAGGGCCGTAAAAAGCATGTACATTTTTATTTTCTTACACATCTGCCAACTGTAAGGGTATTTAGAAAATTTCCTCTCATATCAGATTTTGTAGCGGTTTTTTTTTGCTGATCATTTTGGTAAAAAACCTTCTTGGATTTTATTGAGTAATGACGATAGTATAGCCAAAACACTATAAAAGAGCTTCAAATACGATTTTTTCTGATAGATAAGTATAAACAGTGTTTTGGCTATACTATCGTCATTACTCAATAAAATCCAAGAAGGTTTTTTTACCAAAATGATCAGCGAAAAAAACCTCTATAAAATCTGATATGAGTGAAAATTTTCTGAATACCCTTATAGTTTGTAGATGTGTAAAAAAATAAAAAGTTCCATGTTTTTTTCGGCCCTCACTGTAGTGCACAATATATATTATAAGAAAGAGAGACTGGGTGTGGATGTGTAGTATGGCTGAAGAGAAGAACTATATCTACACCGACACCAATCCATACCCACATCCACGCTGTTCTTTACCCATGTAAAAAAAGGGGAAAAAATCGGATTATAATCGATTAAATTTTGATTAAAAATCGATTAAAATCATACACCTTTTAATCGATTAATAACCGATTAAAAATCGTATAAAATCATGCGTAATCGATTATAATCAACAAAATGTTGTTCTGCTGCTTTTAACCGATTAAAATTGATTAAGCTTGATGTTAATCGATTCTAAACCGATTAACAATCGATTAAAAGGTGTATGATTTTCATCGATTATTAATCGCTTAAGAATCAATTCAACACTGATTCCGAATTCCTCATGAATCGGATCCGAATCAACCAGAATCCATAAAAATGATTGCTACCGAAGAGTCACTATTATAATG